GTTTTTTGACTGATAATAGCTATCAAGGGCCGTTATTCACTTGGTGTAACAAAAGGTCAGAAGGTTTGATATGCAAAAAGTTGGATAGGGTATTGGTAAATGATACTTGGCTACACAAGTTCTCTCAGATTTACACTGTTTTTGAATCTGGAGGGTGTTCGGATCATCTTAGGAGTAGAACTCAGATAAAAATGGAAGTAGACCAGAGGAGAAGACCGTTTAAATTCACAAATTCTATTGGGAAGATGTCGGAATTCGTGGATTTGATTAAGGTTTACTGGGGGGATCCATCTTTATTCATCTCAACATCTGCTATGTTCAGACTTACAAAGAAGTTAAAGATGTTAAAATTTCCTCTTCGAGAATTAAGTAAGAAGAAGCTTGGTGACTTGCCAAGGAGAGTGAAGGAAGCTTATGTTTTACTGTGTGAAAAGCAAAAGATAACGATGGAAAATCCTTCCGAGGATGCTCTAAATGAGGAAGCAGAAGCACTTCGAAGGTGGCAGAGATTGGCTGATCTTGAGGAGGAGTTCTTTAAACACCGATCAAAGCTGCATTGGCTGAACGTTGGAGATCAAAATACTAGAGTGTTTCATAATGCTGTGAAGCTGAGGGAAGTTCGTAATGCGATAAAGGAACTAAGAGGTCAGGATGGTTCTGTTATCACAGGAGATGGTATAAAGCAGGAAGCGGAAAGACACTTTACTGAATTTTTAAACCATATGCCTCAAGAATATGAAGGGATTTCAGTTGCAAGATTATAAGATCTGTTGAACTTTGAATGTAGTGAAATGGAGAAGATGCAACTGCAGAGGATGGTAACGGGGGAGGAAGTGAGAAAGGTGTTCTTTAGTATGCCTACGGACAAGTCTCCAGGTCCGGATGGTTTCACTTGTGAGTTTTTTAAGGCAGCGTGGGATGTTATTGGGAAAGATGTGATAGTAGCGATTCAATCTTTTTTCGAGAAAGGATTCTTACCAAAAGGATTGAATTCGACTATTCTTGCATTGATCCCAAAGAAGGAAACAGCTGTTGAGATAAAGGACTACAGACCTATCTCATGCTGTAATGTCCTTTACAAGGCGATTTCAAAGATTTTGGCAAATAGATTGAAAGGGATTCTGCCGAAGATTATTGCGTTGAACCAGTCTGCTTTTATCAGTGATCGATTGCTGATGGAGAATTTGTTGCTAGCCAGTGAGTTGGTCAAAGACTATCACAAGGAGGAGATATCAGCAAGGTGTTGTATGAAAATTGATATTTCAAAAGCTTTTGACTCGCTTCAATGGCCATTTTTGCTGAACACATTGAAGGCGCTTGGCTTTCCAGACAAATTTGTTCACTGGATTAATCTCTGCATAAGTACAGCTTCCTTCTCAGTTCAAGTTAATGGAGAATTGGCAGGATACTTTCAAAGTGCTAGAGGTTTGAGGCAGGGATGCTCTCTATCCCCTTATTTGTTTGTTTTGTGTATGAATGTTCTCTCAAAGTTGATTGATGAAGCGGCTGAGCAGAGAAAAATTGGATATCACCCAAAATGTCAGAACACTGGATTAACTCATCTGTGCTTTGCAGATGATTTAATGGTTTTTGCTGATGGGAAAAGAAGATCTATCGAAGGTATTTTGGAGGTGTTTGCTGAGTTTGAAAAGGCTTCGGGTTTAAAGATCAATCTGGAGAAGTCAACTATCTATTTAGCTGGGATAACAAGGCAGAATCATGACGATATTATGGATTTTCCTTTTGATAAAGGGCAACTGCCGGTGAAGTATTTGGGATTGCCGCTCCTTACCAAAAGGATGACTGTGAATGACTATTTGCCGCTTATTGAGAAGATTGGATCTAGAATAAGTTCTTGGACGGGAAGGTTTTTATCATTTGGAGGAAGGCTTCAGCTTTTGCAATCTGTGATTTCAAGTCTGGCTAACTTCTGGCTAGCTGCATTTAGACTGCCAGCCTCTTGTCTTCGTGAGATAGAAAAACTTTGCTCTGCTTTTTTGTGGTCAGGTCCAAGTCTTAACACAAAGAAGGCTAAGATTGCTTGGAGTGAGGTGTGTAAGCCGAAGGTTGAGGGAGGACTGGGTATTCGACCGTTGAAGGAATCCAATACTGTTTGTTGTTTGAAGCTTATATGGAGGATATTTACTGCAAAAAACTCTCTGTGGGTTCGTTGGATTCAGCATTATTTGATTCGCAAAGGCTCTTTTTGGTCTGTGAAAGAAACGACTCAATCAGGGTCATGGATGTGGAGGAAGATACTGAAATATAGAGCTATAGCAAAAACTCTGTATAAAGTAAGGATAAAAAGTGGGAAGCGCACTTCTTTTTGGCATGAGGTTTGGTCTGAGTTAGGATGTCTTATAGATATCATTGGATCAAGAGGCTTTATAGATATGGAAATCAGTACTAATGCTACTGTAGAAGATGTTTTGATACACCACCGCAGAAGGAGGCATCGAGAACATATTTTTAATCGGTTGGAAGAGGTGATAATGACTTGTAAAGAGAATGCTTCTATGGAGGATGATATTGGTTTATGGAAGCAGAAAGAAGATGCTTTTAAATGTAAGTTCTCTTCTAAGTCAACTTGGGACTTGATTAGGAATTATGGTGAGAACTGTACTTGGAGTAAAGGGATCTGGTTTCCTTCTGCCACACCGAAATTTGCTTTTCTAGCTTGGGTTGCGATTCATAATAGGCTATCTACAGGGGACAGAATGCAGAGTTGGGGAGGGAATGTAAATGCTGCATGTTCTTTCTATGATGAGCCATTAGAATCAAGGAACCACATCTTCTTTGAGTGTAGATATTCGACTGTAGTTTGGGAAAGCTTGGTAAAAGGCGTTATGGAGGACGACTACACTAGTAAATGGCCTGAAATTGTCTCTATGATCTCCTCTGGTCAGGATACAATTAAGACATTTACTCTGAAGTATGTTTTCCAAGCTACCATTCATGGATTGTGGTTGGAGAGAAACAACAGGAGACATGGTGAGGGCTTAATTCCATCGAGTAAGATGATAAAAATGGTGGATCGATTGGTTCGAAACAGGTTCCTTTCTCTTCAAAAGGCGGGAGACAACAGATGGGAAGGGGGGTTGCAATTCTGGTTCTCGACCAGACCGGGATTTGGAGTATAAAAGAATTTTTAAGTTGAAGAGAATAAGTTTAGAAGTGTAGATTCAAAAATGATTTTGATGTAAAAAAAGCTGCATTGTACAATGTCCCACAGGTTTTTTTTGAATAAATTTAAAATTCATTCAAAAAAAAAAAAGTGTGCTATATTACTATGTTTATATCATTTAAAATTAATTTTTTTCATATACTATATAAGATTGATTGTTTTGATTTATTTATCCTAACTGCAAATAAAAAGAGTGATAGTTAAGTTTATATGCATACACCAATTTATTACATAATAGTAACTGATTTCTTAGTTAGTTAATATATATATATATATACATATTTATTATTTTATTATTTTCTTATATGCAGAGAAATATAAAATAAATAATAAATAGAAAATACTTATTATGCATAAAGTGCAGATTTTAACCTAAGTGTATATATCTTTTTTAATATTTTAAATCTTAAGTATTTGCTTAATCTCAGATCATAACAAACAAACAAAATGAGAATAAACTTCAAATTCAATATTTATTTAGAGTAATAACAAAAAATTTAAAAAACACAACAAGAGAAAAAATTGAAGATAAATAGGATTGACACGTGAACCTAAACTTCTCATAACCATAATTAATTTTTAAATTTTTAAACCATGATATAAATCTGAGTTAATTTTAAATTTTTTAAATCATTATGGTTATGTTAGATCATGACCATAATTACTTTTAATTGTTAATTTTTATTTGAAAAACTTTAATATTATTTCTAAATATACTTTTATTTTTAAAAATAAATTAAAATTTAACTTAATTTTTTTAATTAATTTGTAAAAATGTAATTTTCTAATATTATTAGAAAAATACATAAATTTTATTAAATTAGTTTTAAAACTTTATATGTTCTAAATGCAAATGTTCTACCGACTGTTCTTAAGAAAACATTAGGAAACTTGCTAATACTCTACCAATCAAGCACAGTGACACTCTGTTTATTTTTCATCACTCGAACACTGAAAAGTGAAAAAAATATATGAAATCGAGTCCATTAAATTCTAAGCTTTGATCTAGAGTTCTAATTACAACTGTTTCTAATCCTACGTATAGATAATTATATAAAATTTCCAAAATTCTAAAATTTCAAATACAGATAAAAACAATTATATGTAAATTTTAAATTTGTCAATACTAAAATTTTATATTTTAATTAGATACGTTCACTCTGCGCAAGGCGCATGTCTTATCCTAGTTAATGAATTATTCATGACACAAACAAACAAGAGTGAATTTCTAAACATTTGAACGACAATGACATCTTAGTTTGCCTACAAAAGCTGCAATACACAGTAGCAGGATGAACTAAAGTTGTCTCTGGTATGAGATTGGATAAAGTGTTGTTGCATTTTGATTTGAAGAACAGAGTAAACAAAAATAAGATTAACTATCAAGTAGACAAAAATTCTTTTTTTTTTTTGTTATTGAAGAAACTCAACACAAAGTATATTTGACCATGCTCTCTTTTTCTGTCCCTAAAATGATTCTGTTCCTACAGATCTTCTTTAACCATTACTTCAAAGCCCCATATCCATGAAACTTTGAAAAAACAATACTCTGAATAAAACCTGGGAATGATAAACAAACTCGGAGATATTGCTATATTCATTTCATCTTCGCAGTTTGGGACATTAGATTCTTCATTCTTAATCTTCTCAGGCAGAAGCGCTCTTTCTTGCTGCATACACACGGTATGCAGCCAGCCCAACGACCACAGCAGCAGCTCCAACTGTTTACCAATTCAAAACAAATTTCAGAAAACATGAGTATGAAGCTTTTTGTTACGGGTTGTCTGTTTGTATGTGAGAAAACGTGTGTCAGAAGTTAAGAATATGGATGAAAAAAAATCCTTGAAACAGCCATAAGAGAGCGGTTGATTAGCATGTTGTAATGTTTGCGGCTTTTTCCTGCCTTGGTTTTTGGAATACTCAGATGAGGATGTTGCGCTACTGTTAAGATTTTGCGGAATAAGTTGTTGAAGTCCCCCAACTTGGAGCTGATGGATACTGGAGGCTCTATTCCCATATCCCGCGTCACCTGCCAAAAGATCCGTGTGCATAAGTAAGGTACTTTACAAGTTACTTGAGAGCTATTTTTATTGACTCAGAGATCAACAAAAAACCTACCCTGGTGGATTCTTGTATGGAGATCGGGAATGAATCAAGATCGTCTTTTGCTGAAACCATGAGGCAAGGGACCTCATATCCAGTGGCCTCACCGTGAGTTGCGACTTCTACAAGCAACTCAGTCGCTCTTTTCCATGATGACTCATCATAACTAGATGGAAATCAAATAAATCAGGGATGCAAACAGCAACTCAAAGCCTCGTCAAGGTACATGTGACATTTACATCCAATGAACACACAGACTACAAGTAGAGAATGACAAGACATCTACTTAACCCTATTTTAACCCATGAAACAGAACAAAGTATACCTGTCATACACGAAGACAGCTATGTCACATGGAGCCAACGACTCCTTGGATGAAAATAGCCCTTGAGCCCCATCTTCTGGAATTTCCCTCATCACAAGCGTTTTCTTTGCACTCTAATCTTAGAGATTTGCAATTATCAGATTAATAAGCAATGAGAAACAGAGAGAAAAGTAGTCTCAAAAGATGCTAAAAGTAGAGCACATCTGAACAGTTTTGTTCAAAACATCCTAGTTGTAAAGGTATGCATGTGGCAACAGAAACAACTCATCAAAGATACCTCTACCTAGTTCCCCTCTCAGAGACCCCAAATTAACACTCAAGTTTGTCATTCTTGTTTAGTATTTGGCACATTGGACATTATTCGAGAGGGGAAATGTATCTACGCACATAATGAAACAAACTACATAAGAAATCCCACTCACCACAGATTCATCGACCATATTTACTGCATAGTGCTCATCAGTGGTTGATCCCGTGTTATCAGCATATGACCTAGATCATGAAGAGACACAACTGTAACAAGTTTCGGTAAGAGCTAATATGGCAAACCTTCCAAGAAAACAATTCAGTAATGCAGATTTTCCAGCATTATTGGGTCCGAAAACAAAGCACTGGAAATTTTTTCTTTCACATTGTTGCTTTTTGCGATCTAAGCATCTTCTCCTAGTAAGAAGAATTGCAGAAGATGGATCACCAGAGAATTAAATGTAAATCAAATTTTGCACACTGTTCTAATAGTGTCATCAGTGACCACTGTAAGGAAAGAATTCAAAGATTAGGATAACATAAAATTTGAATTAGTTCAATGAACAGAATAAAGATACATAAACAATTCTATCTGACAGAAAAAATTGCATGACATTTTAGTCTTTCATAAAAGTAAAATAAAAAAAGAAGAATGTTTATATGCATTTGTATGCATATAAAATGTTTCCTTAAGTTGTTGAGCATGAGAAAGAGGAGAGTATTAATAACCAGTGACAAGAAAGCGTCAAACGATAGTCCTCCAAGGGAAGTTTTCTCTGCCGCATCCACATAAGGAGCTTCCGTCCAAGGACTGCCATTCACTTGGCGTTTTAATGTAATGGAGATTAAAAAAAATTACACGTTTTTTTTTTGCTTTCTCGTGGAAAAAGTACCTTTTAGGTGCAGTTGAAAAAAGATCCTCGATTTCTTGTGGTCTCAGATTATTATCCTGCAAAGTAAAAAATCATTAAGACAACTATAGAACTCCAACTTATGCCATTAGTTTACAAAGGGATAATTACCCCATCGTCATCAAACAACACATACATTCCTTTCAGGAAGTCGATTGCTACATCCATCAACTCGATACTCTGCCAAAAAACATGAGCACAATCATTAGCTGCAGATATTGCCACTGCAAGTAAATGTGAGGTGTAATGTAACTGTATCCAGTATTGTAAATTGCAAGCATTCAAATTTGTCTTCCTCTAAATATTCAAAAAAAAATTCAATAAACAGCCATACAGTTGTGGATGGATGACTGGAAAACCCAAAATGGATTTTACCTGATCAGGAGCTCGCTTGAATAATGAAGGTGGAAGCAATTCATCAGCGAGTCTTATATCATTATTATACCCAAACTTCCGAAGTACAGTCCATGTTGTCTCGAGCCTCCATTTCTCAATAAAAAGTGCATGTAGAAATAAGAAGCCGGTCACTGTCAGTCCTCTTTCATTCACACCTTCTGGCAACTTTTCTTGCACAACCCTCTTAACACCTTCAGTTCCAGAAGGTTGTAATGGTGCATGGAAACACTTGACCTATTTTGAAACATCTATTAGATGATCGGGATAATAGAATCATAACTTCTTGAAAAAAACTCAAGGATAGGCCAAAGCCGATTCGATGTAGAAATAGCTAAAACACAGGAAGAAAAAAAAGAACCTGAAAATCATTTAACTCAGCCTCGCTAAGAACACCATCTCTGTCATGGTATAAATATACGCTTCAAAGCCTTTACACACCGGGGTTTTAGTGACTGGGATTCTTGATCAAACAGAGGTGCTGTTGGGTGAAGGACTGTTTTTTGTGCATAATAGAAAACTTATTGTGCCTACAGGACATTTTGTTTATTAGAATGATAGCTCATGCCTGAAATATAATTCATAAATCCCACCTAGTTGTTTTCTGACAATGCATTCCAATTCATCCTCAATAAAAGTGCAATTCAATCACAATAGTAACCACTTTCCAGCAAAAGGTTAACACAACTAAATCCTTGAAATTTCTTGGTAAGACAATCATATGATTGTTGTTGCCTAAGCTACCTACCCTGATCAAAACTTGTTGCCATGATTGAGGTAAGATAAATACTATATTTTAAGAGGAATAACAGAAGTCATAAAACCTGGAGTTGTTTCAGGGCAGAACACTCGATACAAGTCTCAATCTCTCGAAACTGATGCATTATAGGTTACATCACTTGTTCGAGACTGACTGGGTTGTTGTTGTCTCTCAAGTCAAGCTTACACCCTACCACTATTATAGGCACCTTTACCTGTTAAAATAAAAACCCCAAGCCATTCTTAATAAGAAACAACTAAAGTTTAGGTCACAACAAATCATCTAGACATTTTAACAAAAGGACAGTGACATGAACACCAGCAGACAAATTATATAGCTATAAAAACAAGATTCACATGACTAAACTGAAAAAGGAAAAGCAAACCTCTAATCGCCGAAGCTCTGGAAGCCAGTAAGTACTCAAACCTTGGAGAGTCTCAGGTCGATCACAGTCATATGTCAAAACCACCGCATCTGCATTCCTCAATTCCTCGGCAACCATGTCCATATCTTCCGGCCTGAACCCACAAAAAGAAACATCAAAAGACACTTCAAGCAAATCAACGAAACTGTGAAAGCACGAATACCCTAAACCCTTCAAGCAGTAACTAAACAGTTGGCACATTGCTTATCCCAACATCGACACCATATATGCTATTACTATTCTTTCTAGTTCACTTACAGCTTATAAACCCTAAACATATGCCATACGGTCAGTTTCCTCTCCTATTACCTTAGGTCACATTCTTTTTCTACAGTCTACACTAGCATCACTACCCTTTAAGTAGTCTTAACAGTCTTTATATGAAATCATATAGAAGGAGAGATAATATAACTTGGAGGAAGTGTCAACAATGGCGGTGGGAACACCGACAGGGAAGAATTCAAAAGGAAGCTTGGTATCAGGGAGAACATGAGGTACATTGGGAGGGAAAGAATCGGAGACTGCAGCTACTTTCAAGCTGGATTTGCCAGTCCCATTGTCACCAACCACAACGATTCTTACAGATTTGGGTGAGCCTGGACAATCAACAGTACCAGCTGAGCATCTCGCCATCTGGAAACTGCAACAATAATCCAAATTTTTTTTAAAAAAAAATCAGAAAGAATCAGAGTCTCGAATTTGCAAGATAAAATGGATCTTTGCGAGTTTGAGACCAATTAGTTTCAAATTTGCAATCAGATTTAGAAATTGAGTAACAAGAGAGAGAGAGCAGGATTGTGAATAAATATGACGAACACTGAGAGAGAGGGAGACGCGAAGGTTGAAAAGCCACTGGAGACCTAGGAGTTTGCGAAGCTTGTGGTGGCGGTGGCGGTGACGGTGACGATTGCAAGTTGCAAGCAACCAAGGATGTGAGAACAAATAGAAAGGCTTCCTTCGTTTCTGTTCTAGTGGCATTGTCGTTAATATCTACCCACTCTCTCCTTTAACGCAAGTAATTTTATTTTTATCACCACGCATAAGTAATTGGGTGAATTTGATCAATATTCATAGGACATAACGTAATGAAGAATATAATAATAATACACTTGATGTGACAATTAGTGTCAAAAGTGGACATTTTTCTCCTTTCGTTCGCGTGAGACCGTGAGAGTGGAACATTGCTAGCATAACACTTTGCGTACTACATAGTATATGACGTTGCTAGAACTATACTATATAACTTACATAGTATAGTAGGACATGCACAAAAATATAAAATTACTCCGATAGAAAGATCTCTACATAGTATAGTAAACATTAACATAAATAACACCTAAGAGGCGAGTGAACCTTTTATACCGTAACTCTTATCAAACACTAATCAGATGTGTATGCAAACTTTTCATTTCTTGGAGTGGCATGGTAACTGTTAAACATAATACTATAATATAGATGAGATAGTATAATACCTGAAAAAAATAAAGACACCATAAGCATATCTGTAGTGGGAGCGCTAGTGGATTCTAAAAAAGGAAATGAGGGTGAAAACAAATGTTGTATACTATAGCTTTTATAGTATAGAAAGCAAGGCAGGATAGGAATTCAAGGTTCATTGGCCAAGGCATAACAAGAGTGTAAAGAACATGTGAATATATGCAAATACATATATGATTATTGTATAGATGATAAAGTATAGTAAAAATATATTAACCGAAAAAGCAAACATCTATTGCATTCACGCAGAAGACAAATTTCTAAAATATGTGGGGATGGGGAATGCAAAAGATGGTGGTTTTTTGTAAATGAAATAGACAATACAATAAGGGGACGGTAATGTAAAAAACGATAGTACACAGTCACAAGTGTCATTTATGGTTGGTTACAGGCTATACTATAGTGCATCTTAGATAATATAGGCCATCCAGTAGCAACATTAGTGACCATAGGATGGAACATGAACAGGCTATGATACACGTATCTTGGGTATATTGAGAAGCTGGCCGAGGTTTTGTACTTCCAATGGTTAACAAAACGACTCCATCCACCAAGGGTATTCCATAAATTCGTTTATATTGTCAACTATCTCCACCACTTCAGGTCTAATTTGTGCCAGCTATATAATGGACAGTTCGATGGTTGATCTCATTCTAAACTATATGCCATATATGAACCTTACTAATAGGACGCATGCATTAGATAATACAACCACGATTGCAAGTATTATATAATGTACAAGCTATAATATGGAATAATTGGTACTGGTACGGCGTTTGTACACAAATACAATCGAAAAGGGAAGAGGGAGGAAGATGGTGTGACAACAATGATGTTATCTCACAAATGGATACTATGTAACTGAATCTTTAGCTTTCCTCATGCAAGAACATAACATGAAACTGTAACTGGAAAAATATACATATACAGCGTAATGTAACAATGTATATGAACGTGTGACAATGAAGACAGTTTAGAAAAGCTACAAAACATTGTACAATCTTTCATTGGTGATACATAAGAACCTCTGCATCCCATATGTTTTGAAATTGTTGACCCTATTCTAAACTATAAACGATATAGTATAGAATAGACAATTGAACCCTGTCTGATACAACTGCTCCGGCAAACTCTATCTCCTCCATCCTAAACATGGAATGCAAATACATTATTTCATGTCACAGCCATTTACAAGTGAAAGAACCATAATTTTTTTCTCCGGCCGTATAGTTTTCAATGTAATGATAAAATTCTATGCCGCAAATTAACATCAATCGCGCTATACTACTACATTATAGAACATAGTATTTACTTTGCATTACAGATTTCATCTCTTTTCCTCTATGAATAATCAGATAATGAGTTTTAAAAATAACAGTAATACAAGAACATCTTTCACCAGATCTTGTATTCCGTGTATACAAGAAGACCCATAGCTGAATTTAAAGCACTACTAGTCGTCTCCGATGACCTTTTCCTAGTCCCCGAGTAGCGATTCCACATGGATCTGCAAAATTAACGGGGTTCCAGTTATGGGTGTTCAAGAAATGAAATTCAAGACTTGCATAACAACATCACATATTCATGCATATATAGATAGAATGTTCTTGCATATTGTGCCTATTCACATAATCGGATACTATACTATTAAGGTGTATAATATAGAATAGAAACACATACATCTGTTCCTACTTCCACGAAACCTAAATGTAGGTTTTGAAACCTTAGAGAACTACTATATGATGTTTCATATAGTGTAGTGTTAAATTTACTGGTTCTGTTATATTAAGATGACTAATATAGTATAGCATTAGTAGTTATAGAATACATTTGTTCACCCCTCTCACGAACCCATAAACTAAGTTGAAAAAAAATTGCAGAAACAAAAATCTGAACAAATCTCATATACATAAAACTTGTCTACATAAAAATCTACTCATAACCTATTGTCTGAGATGACCTTTTTTCCTCCACCGCATGTAATTGTTCCAATTGGATTTGCAATTGATGCGCCGTTAAATATGAATAACCGACAGAACCTTAACTCTGCTCCTCCCTCTGGTGCCTCTCACAAATCCATGATTGGAAGTCTATCTCTTTTTCTTCTGAAGTGCCAACGCCCAATCGCTCTTCCTAAACCGCTCTCTCCAAATCTCTCGGCTTCATGATATTTTGGTTTAAAAAAAAAAACAAAAATAGGAACGTTTCTTTTTCTTATCCACGCGCAGCTAAAGGGTTTTTTGGGCAATAAACCTAACAATATCAACCATAGTCTAACGTTGGTTTACTATGAGTTATATAATGTTTTTGTTTGTGGGATATGGTTATTAGCCCAAATTTCCCTAAGTAATTTCTTCCTTTTTTTGTGTTTACTGTTTTTTTCTGTTACTACAAGCGTAAGTGTTTGAGAAAGTAAGAATGCATCTACAACATCTTGAACAAAAAAAAAAAGTGGTCACAAAAATAGCCTTAAAAAGGTAAAATGACCAAGATAATCTTTTTTTTTTCTATTTTGCAATTTGTAATATTTTTTTTATCCTTTTAAATTTGAAATCCTAAATCCAAAACTCCACTCCTTAACTCTAAATCCTAAATCTAGATTAATTAATCCAAAATTATAAGTACATATTTACACTTTAATAAAAAATTATTTTGATCATTTTTCTGCTAATGGTCATTTTGTGAAAATAAATTAAAAAGACTATATAAGAGAATTTCTCCAAAAAAAAACTACAACGTCTAAATTAGCATATTACAACACGCTGAACAACTGAGATGCGGTTTTAATATATAGACGTATGAACATATATAGAGATTTTTGTTACTATTAAAATCATATACAATCTGTAAATATTTAAATTTTTAAGATATGCCTGATTTTTTTCTCTACCACTTATACATGCAGCTTTTATGATTGGTAACATTGTTGGTGTATTCAACAATCACAGAAAACATTATAAATCGTTTAAAATCACTCTAAACTTCTTGAATTCAAAAACTAATTCTAATTATCGTTTACAATTGCAGGTGGTTGCAGAGGAAAAAAATATCTTTAAAAAAAATTATTAAAAAAAATATTCAGTTGAATTTTATATTGAAGTAACAGAAATACTATTATATATATATAATTAATAGTATAATTTTATTATAAAACTTTAAAGCAAAAACATTTACTATAACTTTTTTGGAAAATTAATAGTATAATTTTATAAATATAATTTTTATATTTATTATAATAAAATGATGTTTAGTATTTTTAATAAAACATAAATATTTTATAACCAAATTATATGTATCCTACAAGCCCACTAATTCCTAACCCTCATATCAGTCATACAACTTCTTAATGACGCGTAGAACCAGAACCACGTCCATTGTATCCGCAAGTGTGTGTAACCCTATGTTGCACCAGAACGGATACGGGGACAAATACAAAGACATGAGCAAGAACGGCAAAAGGCAAATCCAAAAATTCATAGAAACTGGGATGGCATATACATTAATAAAAATATATTAAGTCTATATGAAGTAAAATTTAAACTTAGGTAATAAACCTAAGATAATACAATACTTTAAGCTAAAATACAAAAAAAAGAGAAAAAAAACTTCATAGAAAACAAACTTTAGTCTAATTCTATGAAAAGAGAGAGAGAAAATCGATATGTGCAAGGGTTTCAAGCCAAAACTTGTTCCTTTAGATCTTGCCGTAAGTCTTCTGACTTTGAATCAAGCAAAATAACAAATACACAAGCATTAGGATCTGGGAAACTAGTTTCACTTAACCAATACTTTATCTAAACGTCCACAATCTGTCCCGTAACGTCTCAGTGGTGTTCCCATCCCCAAAACGTTTCCGGTACGGTTACTAAACAGATGTCCCCGTGTTTCATAGGCGTAACCGCTGTGATTACATCACATCAGTCACTGAGACCCTTAATTTTGATTTAATTACACTAACACATTTTTTTTTTTGGAGAACAAACTTACACATATTTCCAAGAGAAATATGGCTTCATATACATAGCCCACAAAACAATTCAGTCTATAACCATAACAAACATATGGTTAGAATATGATACATAATATGCTCTTTATTGTCCAAAATAACCTCATCTTGTGCGCAGAAAAGGAACTTT